ACAAAACCGTGCAGAGAAGGGTCAGTGTGCCAAAAGGGTTCACTAAAGAGTTATGAGAGATACGTAAAAAGAAAAATACATCTGACAGGGATAACATGAGTTTGTAATGTAATGAAATGACAGGTTAGAAAGTACATGTAGATATTTAGATAGATACCAGACAAAAAGTATGACAGAGAGATTTCACTGCTAATATGTCGGCTATACAGAGAGAACATTTGGGTGACAGTTTTGAGAACAGGAGTCCAGGTAGGTTTAAAGGCTTCCCACAGAATATTGTCCAACGGAAGAAAAGTAATAGAAAAGACCTGGAAATTGTTGGGTTTTTAAAAATAAATGTAGGTGTTTTTATGCCCCCCATCAACACAAGTTGTATCATGTAGGAGGCAGGATTCAACCCCACCTATCAAGGCCAACCCGTGCAGAGAGTGATACAACATGTATCAGCCGAAACACTGAGATATTCAATCAAAATTGTCCCCACTCCGGAATTGAAATCTGGTCTTTTACGTGCGATGGCAAATCCTTTCACTTTTAACCGAATAACCATCACACCACAGATATCGACTAAAAGAACTGAAGGTTGGCGGCACGCGTGATGTCCTTGACCATCAATGATTTATTTATAGAGGCATCAGCCATCCATGTCCAGTGTGATGTGTGGACCCAAGAATAGCATGATAAACTGGGATGGAAGGGGGGGGGGTGTTTGTGTTTGTGAAGAGATCAATCCAGTGCGCAGGGTAGGGGAACAGAGTGCAAGAGCAGAAATTATCACAGACAGAGCTGAAAACCAACTGAGCAGCATTACGCCCATGTAGATTTATAGAAAATCAATTTATAGATCCTTTTCTATTAGTTCATTTCATTCGGTACTTATCAGAAAAGCGAAATAGCTCTGGAAAAAAAATAACCTGAACTTTTTGCACCCAAAGGAAACACGTGCACAGGGACTCAATATTTACAGAGATAATACATCTTGTCTTGTACCAAGACAATTTTACATAAAGTGCAATATGCCAACAATTTCAGAAATCTAGATTTATCTGCACCACTGACTTCAGAGAGTAAAAGGCATTTTATGCACATACTATTCGATTTATCAATTTCTTCTGTATTAATTATCGGTCCAAAAAAATAAGAAGAGACTTTTCAGTATATTTTGAAGTATTATCACATTTTGAAACTTTCAAATTTGGTAAATACGAGTTGCAGTGGAAGTAAACCTTACACATATGACATGTTGTGAGTTGTGACATGTTCATTGACTTTTCAATTTTCTCTCGCGAAATAAAGAAAAGAAGAGGAGGGGGCTTATCATGCCCAGAGAAAGACGGGATGGAAAAAAGTATCACAGTGAAGGGGAGAGAGAGGAAACACTTGTCTAGCGTGCTAGGGGTTGCCAGGTCTACGATAAGGCCACACAGTGTTTGATCAGAGAGACGAAAGAGTCAGGATGTGCCACACCCACACTGGCTGAAGAGGAGGAGGGGGAGGAGAAAGATGGCTTATTGTACTAGAGAAATGGAGGAGATAAAAGTGAGAGTGACGAATGAGAGTGAGGGTGGGAAGGGGGGAAAGGGGAGAGGGGGGGGGGGGAGTGGAGACGAAAACAGATGACAGAATATTGCTAGAGAGCAGGAAAGGAGGTGAAAGGAGACAATTTTTGAGAATTATTTTTCGTCGCTTCCCAGATTCGAACCCGAGACCTTTGAATGAGAGGTGAACACCTTAAACTATTACATTACCCCAGCAGACCCGAAATCATTCAGAAACATTCTCAGCTTCACTGATGCATAAAGTGCAAACTGTGGATTGTACGCGCTCACACACTGACCAACTGACAATGATCTTTCGCCGTCTATAGCCGGGTGCCCATTCCCACCTGGGCGAAGAGAGGAACATTTGTGTAAAGTGCTTTTCCCAAAGACACAACGGCGGGCTTCTGACGACATTCGAACCCACGACCTTTCGGTTGTGAGCCAAGCACCCTCACCACCACATCACTGAAACCTTCGTCAGTCAACATATTACAGTCATGACCACATCACTGAAACCTTCGTCAGTCAACATATTACAGTCATGACCACATCACTGAAACCTTCGTCAGTCAATGGCACACAGTCATGACCACATCACTGAAACCTTCGTCAGTCAACATATTACAGTCATGACCACATCACTGAAACCTTCGTCAGTCAACATATTACAGTCATGACCACATCACTGAAACCTTCGTCAGTCAATGGCACACAGTCATGACCACATCACTGAAACCTTCGTCAGTCAATGGTACAAAGTCATGACCACATCACTGAAACCTTCGTCAGTCAATGGTACAAAGTCATGACCACATCACTGAAACCTTCGTCAGTCAATGGCACACAGT